ACCAACATATTCCGATGGCTTTAAGAGCGTTTGGGACAGAATGCTTAGCTACCTTAAGCTATTTATGGCGACACTGCCAAGTGTCACCTTAGCACATAAAACTGCGGGACCCGAAGTAGGGCGGTACTCCAGAATGTTTCACAGTCCAATCTGCAGCCTTGCCAACGGTTACTTATGGCAGGGGATCATCACGGCTGTTTACCCAGCTTCGTTGTTTACTTATCTCTCATTGCAAACATAAACGATCGGTGACTCTCCTCATCACTTTCGTTTTGACACGCAACCGTACGAATCCATGGGTTATTTACTAAGGAGTAAGGTAGCCAGCCCAGGACCACGACGCTCTAGGACGCTGGCGCTGATCATACATGACTGATCGTTTATCTTACCTGCACAACAGACGGAAATTATTTGCTGGTTTCTCTTCTAAGAATCTATTCCCTGATCCACAACGTGGAACACGAGCGAGGGCTGGAAGCTCCCCTTCGCCGGGTCGCATCATGCAAATGCTTGCTTGTCAAACTTTTAGCAAAAGAACGTAGATGTAACAGCAATATATCGTGGGAGGCACGTGGAAGGTACAAGTGCCCAGAACGAAAAAGGGCGCCCAATAAGAACTCCACTAATCGGTCAATCAGCTTTGAGCGAAGCTCAGCCAATCAGGATATGTCTAGGGGATTGAATCACAACACCACTCTCCCCATGAGAAAACTTGCTTCATGCGGTTTGGTATCGATCAACTGGCTTCGCTGTACGGCTGGACCTTCGTAATTCACGGGTCGATGGAGCCGGCCGTGCCTGAGTTTCACACGTATCTCGGCCGTTGCGCTGTAAAACCGATGGGCGCTGACTATCAAGCCGTTTTTCAGTCGATATGTGCCAGGGCCACGTGCATGCGTGATTCTCAGCAGTTCAGACAGAGTTGGGTGACCCTTTACGGTACTATTTTTGATCCAAACAAATCATCCCGGCTGGGGTGGAATTGAGGTTTACGCGTAGGATTGTTGGTATGTTGCTATGCGGTTTGGCACTTCGGGATTTACGGAATAGGACGTTATGTGCAGCATTAAGTTTTGTACGCAACCGTACTCCTAGCATCATTTCGACCGGTGTTCTCCATGTGGCTCTGTGTTCACAGATTCTGTATTATAGCAGCGACGTCAAGATAGCTTCTTCCCACTCTACCCTTCCTAGTTGAATCGTCTGTATTGCCTCCTTGAGAGACCGGTTAACACTCTCCACCATACCATTAGCTGCAGGACGGTAGGGGCAGTCCAGGAATGCTTTACGTTATGTCGTTGGAGGAAAGTTTCGAATTCGTAACTACAGAATTGAGGACCGTTATCTCTAACCACTTCCTCTGGTAATCCGAAGCGACTGAACAGATGTCTGAGCCATCACAGCACTACGGAAGAGGTCACTTGGTCACCTATATGAACCTCAGTCTATCTGCTGTAAAAGCAGATCGCAAAAAGTAAATTTTCTGTTCACCGTAGTAGTGTCGAAGGAGCCCATAACATCAAGTGCCATTTTGGTATCGGTTGCATGGAAGCATTGACAGACAGAGAACTTTTATCTGCTATTCAGCAAGCTTGACAGTTTCTCACAAATGCTATTTTTAGCCACCAACAGTAAGGTCGCATTTTAATTGTTCTTAGGACAATAACCGGATGACCCTCATAAGCAAGCACAATTATCTTGCTAACCATCGACGATGGAGCTACAAATACTGGTCCTCGCATTAGACAACCATTTACGACTGGAAGTTCCTCTCGAATTGAATAGTACGGAAGGATATCACAGGACATTTTGTTGTTCTTCGGCCATCAATGCCGGACGTAAGCCATGAGTTTCTGCAGCGTCGCGTCTCTCACGTTCTCGGTTTGTATTTCATTAATCGTCAGGGTAAACAAATCGGATTCAAGGCTAGACACCATTGCCGCCTCTCTGTGTGCTTCTTTTCCATCCTCCGGTTCCAAAGGTAAGCGAGATAATCCATCCGCGACCTGATTCTGCCCTCTTGGCCGGTAACCGATTTTTAAATCATAACTGAGAAGTCCGGCATACCAGCGACTGATTCGCATCGGGCGGAAGCCTTTGGATCTATTCTTAAGGAGGGTGGTGAGAGCGGAGTGGTCTGTCTGTAAAATGAAACGGTGGTCAAGCGGTAAAGATGTCACTTCTCGCAAGCGCACACACAAGCCAGAGCTTCATTTTCGCCGGCGGAGTAGTGACGTTCAGAGTCTCATAACTGTCGTGAAGCATAGGCAATATCTTACTCTTCACCGTTTTGTAGTTATGAAAGCACTGCACTGAGACCGACACCAAAGGCATCAGTTGACACAAAACTACGGTATGATTCGTCAAAGATGGCAACCAATGGGGTGGAGGAAATTCGTTTAAGTTCGTCAAAGGTATTTTGTTGTTCACTACTCCAAACAAATGGTGACCCCTTTTTGTCAGTTTCCATAGTGGATCTGTCACGGTTGCAAAATCACAAACATATCACAAGTTGTAAAAGCACATACCCAACAAAGACTTTAGTTCCGTGAAGTTACTAGGTGTCTGCGAGTCAGCTATGGCACGGATATTTCCTTTATTGGGGCGAATGTCGCCGCGGGAAATGATGTGCCCTAGAAATTTAATCTCAGGAGCGTTAAATATGTACTTTTCATGTTCAAGCGGAGATCGGGTTCCCTGAACCGATGAAGTGCTTTACGTAAGCGCTCTTCACGCTCTTCCGGCGAGCGACCGAAGACACAAATATCCTCCAAGTACGCAACCTGTCAATCAATGCCCGTCAAAGCTTGAGCCATAAACTACTGTCAGGCAACAGGTGCTGAGCTCAGACCCATGGGTAAAACGTTGTACTGAAATAGTCTATCAGGATCTAGGAAGGCGGTAAGTGGTTTGGAGTCCTTAGATAAAGGCATGTGCAAAAACGCACTTGTTAAAGCCAGTTTGGAGAAAATGGCTGCACCGGAAAGTCCAACTGTTAGTTCCTCATAAGTGGGTAGCACAAATCTCTTGACGACTATCTGTCTGGTTAGACATTGTGGAATATTACATGTGCTGACAATGCCGTCTATTTTCAAAACACTCACAATTGGATGTACCCACTCGGAGCAATCGATTGGCTCGATTAGATCGATCGCTAACATGTCCTGTAAGGTTTCTGATACAGCTTGACGCTTCACAAGTGGAATCGGTCGAGGTTGACTAATGGAGACAGGTATCGCATCCTGTTTCAGCTGGATGCGATAAACACCACATGATATACGTTCGATAGAAGGTTGAAAAATCTTTGGATATCGCTCTTGCCAGTTTGTTACTCCAATAGAGGAAACGGTCATTCGATCAAAAGATGGCACCACTTTTAACGCAACTATTGCGTTCCTCCCAAGCAGAGGCCGTTTGTTATCTGATGAAACGTATACCGCGACATCCGCAGATACCAGATCAATCCGGAAAGGTATGACTAATTCAGTGTTTGTCTGTCAGCACTTATGCCCTCACTGCGTTCGGTAGGTGGATTTAACAACCAGACGGTTATCCGAAAGTAGTCACGAGCACACCCTGTGTTTTTACAACGTTTAGTTGAGGTCTTCCAACACATCCATCATGTTGCACTACTTTAACGATAGGCACACAACCCTCGAAGGCAATTTTAAAGTTGATTGCTCTATCCCAGAGGCTGTATTGGTGCGTGCGTGGAAAACGCGTTTGACCAATGCCTCCATCGTTACTAAGAACTGAGGGGCACTTGACATTTTGCTTGTTACTTGAATTGCTTTTCTGCGGCCGTAGGATGCTTTGTTTCATCCAACTCTTTCTTTACTGGCTTTTTAAGCCATCGCTAGCTCCAGTTTAAGATAAGCATACAATGGTTAAATCAGCCAATGCACTAAAGGGTTCGTAGCTCAGTGTGGCTCCCAATGCATGTACCTCCCTAAATAGAAAGATGTCAGTCCGACGATAGTGTATCCCGTATATTTTTCACCATCCACTTTTTTTCGCATCATTTTCTCACCTCATGCAACTGTACAAAGGTTCACTCTGTTATAAAATATTAGGATACTTCACCAGGCGGCGTTCGTGAACATTAAAGTAGGGTTGTAGGCAAGTGCGCGTGGAAAATGGTGCCGTTGACCAGCTAGTCAATTGTTTGTAAGCAATTACCACCAGACCGATTTTAGCGTCTGTTTGAAAAAAATGCTCTAAAGCCGGCGAATATTGTGTGTTTCCCATCCGGGTGGGCAACCTAATATGCATCTGGTTTATCGATGGTTGAATCGACCAAGTTTCACTTCAATGCAAAATGCGGTTCAAATTGCGATTGCGTATCGCCCTTCGTTCACACAATGAGTGCTTCATAAGGACCCTACAATAAATGGTACTAATGTCTTTTTGAAACCCAAGCAGAGATAGTCACCGTGCCGGTATGATTTAGGGACCAATTTCTCCAACTAGTTGTTGTAAGAACAACCCTTCAACAGAAGTTTAAACTCTGACTACATGCATACTTTCAAGTTATCAATTACCCACCGACCATTGATAAAGACATTTGTTAGCAAGTAGCTCGCTCCGCTCTTTCACCGGCTGCTATAGCTCCCTGTACTGCAAGCAGTTGTGGAGTATATCTGGTTCATCACTATAGGGCACATCCAAATGTTCCGCCTAAAATTTGTACCACTGGACCATGGTATACTTTCGCTTTCCCTTAGTATTTTGACTGGATCACTGGACTCAGTAGCAAATAGGAGTGAGTCCTGACCACATACGAAAGATTGATCCGCATGCATTGGTTCACAAGAGTAGTTCTGCCAGGTATACCACGTGCACAGGTAGTGAACTGTGACTGAACTATTAACAATAATCAACAGTATTTACATATTTACGGACGAACTAGCCAAAAATTTACTCCCACGTCTGGGTATGGAAGATCTGCGATAGTTGTTGGATTTAGCTTATTATAACTACCCTCCGTTTTACCTAATCAGCCTGTCCTCGGGGTGGTCGTGTTCGACGTGGACGCTGCAACCGCCTCACTGGTTTCGCCTTGGATCAGTTGGAATTCTGGTCGCCCGTGTTGACCAAGTGCAAATGTCGACTGCTGACGAAATTCATCCGCCGCATCTGCTGTAAGCGTTCATTCAAAATTACCTTTTAACTTTCCGCAACTGCCGCGCTCTTCCATCGTTGTCAGTCCCAAAACTGTTTGTGTGGTTGTAGACCAAACCAAAGAAATTAGAAGCATACTGGTTACCGGACACAAGGGTGGGTGGGGAGTTAAATGTTTTCAAGATAGCATATAGACCACCAGATACTGGAACTACCGTGAGTTTCCTTGCTCGCATGTCCTGGTTTTCGCTGATAGACTACAGATTACCCATTTATTTTGAACTTGTTCGGGTGTTATCCAAGTTCGACAATTTGGCTGCAGACGTTTCGTCACCACCCTGGGTAACATCATTAGTGTGATTTCAGGGAAACCGGTACAGCGTCTATTGAGCTTCAGTCGAGCAAGATGACTGTCGGGATTCAACTCCCTTAAAAAATGGAAGTTAATTCGCATACGACAAATAGGCTTCCACATTAAGAAAGGGATGATGTCAAGGGATTTGTTGCATTTCACTAGGCGCAGCTCATAGGAAGTCAAAGTCACGGATGTTACTAGAGTTTTCGTACACCATGGCACGTTGGGCATGCCTGGAGGGTACTGGATGCTACTGGTGGTCAGCTGAGCTTCTGTTCCCTGAAGTTACCCTGATAATATTGTTTAGCGTGGTGACAAACGTTTGTACCCAAAGTACCGAGCTCGGAGAACACCCAAACCCACTTATCCGCATTCCGAGCTACAAGTATTCTCATCAATTGCTGACCCCTTTGTTTTGTTGTCAATGGCGCGTGGTTGTGTCACGTTTGAGAGTTAGATTGTCGCGGTATCAGTGCGCAAACCGGACAATGATGCTCTACTCACCGTTCTTTTTAGCCTGCGGTCATCTGGATCACATTCCCACGCGCGCCATTTGTGTTCCTCACAAAGGCATTTGGCTAAAGAAACATGTTGTGTATCGTTTGCGGAACGGAAATTGTCATGCCGAGCAGCATCTACTCAAGAAAGCAATCGGTACGAAAACGAACACTGAGTCACATTTTTATTTCTTATAATCGTTCTATCAGAATGTCCCTCTTGATACCTAAGGCGTTGGTACATGACCTAACCTGGACATACCACAGACCTGGTCATCAGCGGTGTTTAAATCCATCGATGCTTTACTTGCAGGGGCATAGAATTAAATCCCTAGATCTTTCCACAGCCAATTTGTGTAAAGCGAGAGTGGCGTTCATTCTTACCTAGACTATGGGCGATAGCAAGCTAGGGTACTTGACTACTCTGCAGCTGAGTATAGAGTGTACTGCCTGTGACAGAGTGGATTAAGCGTCTACATTGTAATCCGGTGGCCATCATTTCAAATCCGCATAGGCGCGGGTGACCTTGCTTTATGCTCAGACCACGCACGACTGCTGGTGGTCACCTAGCAGCGAAGCGTCGGTACGGTGTACTGACGTACTACTGAGGCCTTCCTGTGGCTGTGATACACTTTTTGTTTTGTCACAGCCTATTGAGCTGATGACAGCATCCTTCACGGGCGGTTTTATATTTGCGTTCGTTCTTGCACTGCCATAACCAGTGGGTGTAAAGCCACATCGTCCTATTGCTCTCGGAATGATACAGCATTCGATTCAGTAAGCATAGTATGTGTTTGGTAACTTTACGATTGTGAAATAAGCCACCAAACTCAAGGCTATTGCAATATTTTAGGAGCATCAACGGAGGACTTAACAAAAATGAACTCACTCTATTGTTCGCACGATGAAATGATAGTGAACTCACCTCGCAAACGTGGGATTAGGGATAGACGCGCAACGTTATGGGTTAGGCCGTTAGAATTTACCCAATAGACGCACTCTTGCTCAAACGTCAGTTTAATTTTGCTCATTTACACACTTTTCTTTAGTGTGTGTGAGGAACTTCAAGTCTACTTTGCATTGCGACCCAACCACCTGTGAAAGTGTACGTGTCAGCACATGGTTCGAGCAAGTCGGATGCCGATGTGTGAAGAAGATGAACCGCGCACATGGCAAGTGCTGTTGTCCCCCCGGACGTATTGAGAAAGAGTGCGGGGACGACGATAGTGTACTGACTACCAAAAAGATCACCTTTCTGCTCGACCCTAATAAACAGGAATGCGTGCCGCAAATTGACCGTTCGGTTCAAGAAATACGTAAGTTCTAATTTTTTATCGACCGGAATGAGTTACATCTGCCGCAACAATGGATTCCCTCGTATGCACAGAACGGAGATGATATTTGCCTCCACTACCGCTGTAAATCATCGAAGTAGGGGAAAGCGACCTGTAATCCCTGACATGCAACTGTGGTTCTCGATGATGAGAGACCAGATCATTCAGCAAAATGATGTGTTGTCTATTCCCATGAACTCGCTTCAGTGTTTTGTTATCTGTAATCCACTCAAGAAACTTAGCAATCTGCCATATGCATTAGGATAAACGCAGAGAAAGCCAGTTGCGGGTTAAATGTTTTTGTCTTTCTACTATATATATATATATATATATATATATATATATATATATATAAGCTGGATTTACTGTGTTCGTTGGGGGCTGAGCACTGAGAGGTTTCATCATTGGGCGTACTTGAAACCCTACCACTACCGATTCTGATGTAGTTGATTCCATGGGATTTCTACGCAATACAAATACAAACCCGTGCAGTAATGGTCTGGCTTTAGTGTAGAAAATATCATACAGCCAGGTGAAGCGCTCACTTGCGCCGTGTGCAGTTAGATACAACGTGGGATAGCGGATATCTTCCATAAAGTAATTATGCGTAGCATCAAACTAATTGGTTTCCTTGGCATATCTGCAAGTTGATTGGCAACTAAACATTCATGCTGACTTCATTGAAGCCATGTGGTCTCTCTGAGTGCATCTCCATGTTAACCAGGAATCCCCTTGTCCTCATGGGCTTTAAACAATGCGTCCGATACGTGCTTCAGCCTTTGACGGTTTCATCACTCTTGCTATTTTTCGTTGTTGGGGTATTCGTCATTTGTCCACGGTGCACATCGACCAGCTATCCGCTAGATTCACCGGGCACCTATCTCAGTGAGAGAATGTCTTGTAATCTTCCAGGGTATCACTTAACTTTTATCTACCAAGAACCTCTTAGTGTGATCACCAATGGCATGGTATCTGACATGTTTCTTCTACAGCCTTCGCTCTCAAGAGTAGTCACTACTCGTAGGGTTTCGTTTGTTCCATTTTCCACCATAGCAAAGTTATGTTCCTCAGTAACTGACCATGCATACGTCTGAGGTAATCACACACGACCGCGATCACAACAATTTGATGGGTGGGTACATTTTTGTTCAACAGCATCTTTCTCATTTGCGATGTAAATCCGAGGATGACAAATGGCATCGTGGCTCTTCATGGTGTGCATCAAAGCATCTGATAGTTGAGCTGGGCGTTTTAGCAGAAATTGGTTTGTTTTCGATCATTCTTCTCTTTTACTCTGGCCATGGGATAAAGTCTTTCATCTGTCTTACATCACAGAATGTAACGAGCGCAATACGCGTGTGCTAAAGCAGTATTGTGATCGCCAGTCCTGTCATCCGGCCACTGTTTATCATCGGGTTGTACGAAAACGATGTGGCTGTGTCAATTTGATCCGTCGAGTCTTGAACAAAAGACTGCGATGCTGTTGCCCGCCTCCGAGATTTATGGTGCGCTGTTATCCCCAGTATGGAGTGGTTTCCAAAATCGTCTATCGCTACGAGCTGTTCAAAGGCCACTGCGCTTCCCGCAAATTTGTGGATCAAGATAAACATGGTACGTTCCTCACCTTAACTAAAAGTATTCAGAACCATACAATTTGATTATTGGACGGAAGCATTACACAAGCTTAGAAGTTCAATAAGGTTGCCAATGTCGGTCAATGGAAGTTTTCAGTCATCTGTAGTTAGAAGAAAAACGGCTAGGAGTTAGGTGTCTGTCTATACCTTCGCTCAATTGACTGTATCCGTCATTCAGTTGCTTGCATCGGTCACTCATAAATCTGCATTGCTCCCCCAAATGCATGCATACATGTGCGCCTGCACACTGGTACGATGTTAGTCACCGTATCAGTGCAGTCGGGACAAGCAGGCCACGTGATTTCACGACGCGGACACGTGGTCCATGGGTATGGCTCACACGTGTGCCGACGCACATGTATGCGTGCATTTGGGGGAGCGATGTAAATTAATGAGTGACCGATGCAAGCAATTGAATGACGAGTGCAACCAGCTGAGAATAGATATAGCTTGTCATTCTTGTTTGGTGTCCTGTTGGGTTGAGTTCGGCTCCACTGGCTTCGGTTTGCTTTTTGAAACTTCCCTCTTCATTACACATCGCTGCACCACAAGTGCTTAATGGCTTTATAACGTTGTTCGGCTCATTTCCAGTTCCTCGCATTATTGACACACTTGGATTCATGTTTCTCTTAATTTTAGTCTGTCCTAAGGGTAAGGTGTTCCGGAGCCCCTGTGATCGATCCACTGGTCTGCGTTTGGTCGTCCGTCACACTCAAGTCTCCGTCGGGTGCCAATGTCGTGCGAAGGTGCGGAGGACGATGGAGCCATGTGGTTAGTGTCCATGCTGATCGATCAAAAGTATTCCACAAATTTACATTCTATTAGAGCTTTTATGTCATCCTGCTCTAGGTGTAAGCGGTTTCAATAGCCTGCTTCTGCTTTATGATATGATGCACCCTGAAGCATGGTAAACTTTTATAAGAATCGCCTCGCAAACTCAAACTTGGGGATGGAATGGAACAATGGTGTATTGCGGGTAAAAAGCAATACTCAGCAAGTTCCGTGTGATGGAGATAATTTAGAAGACTAAACACGACGATAAACTGAGAAGCGTTTTGATGGACTCACCATGATGTTCGCATTGAAACATGCGTAAATGAGCCGAGATGTTTACATGAAAATAAATACAAATCCAGCCGGGAAAAATTTTGTAAATACACCATTTGGTTGCGCTATGTTGTCTTCAGGCTAACACAAAACAGTTTTACAATCTTCTGAATGAAAAGTTTCTTTCGCTAAAGCTGGTTGCTCCGCGGCGGAGTCGCTAACTGGGTTATGTTCTCCATTAATACTGTTTGCCGCGTGGGAAATACTCATGGGATCCCACATACCGTTTCGTTGGTTCATTAATCTATGCCTCTCACCCTTTGCATTTTAAAAATATTTTGTTACGGGTTTTGCTGATTTCTTTTATCCCAGTATAGATAATGACAAATTTCACCTCCACAAATCAACGTGTTTCCTTGCTATTCACAACAGTTGGTTCAATCAAGGACAGAACATTGCACAGGCAACTCTCCCTTTGCACATGGAATAAGTAAATACATAAATCAATGTTATCTGTAATGCAACGAGGCACACACAGATAGCTATGCTGCTTAATCAGGAGTAAAGGTAGGCAACAAATAAGCCACTATTTTGTAGCGGAGCACAACTTGTCACAAGATTTTCCGGAATTTTCAGCAACGAAGTGAAAATGCTTGTAAAATATACCAGCTTACAGGTCGAAAACATTTGTTTGGGTTTGATTTGTTAATGTTGGTCCTTACTTTGTGGTGGGAAAGCAAAATATATTTCCTGGATGGGATTCGTACTGGAAACGGATCGTTTGAAGAAGAAACAATGATTTATCACGGGATAAAAGCAAGTGCTTGACACGTCCTCTAGGATAGCTAGGATGAATACAGCGGAAGCAAAATACATGTGAGTCATCTACCAAGCACCTACCGACATAAATGCATTGAGAAATAATCATTCATAGTAAAATAAAAATCGCGTGTAACTATACAGAAAGAAATAACACACGGGGTGCAATGATTGTTGATATAAGGCTTTGAGAAATGTACAATATTGTCTCTCACTTATGCGTCGCCTTCTTGGGTCCTTGTGACACAAATCCTGTAGAAGGGCATGATTGGCTTAATCCAAAATGGCGTAATTTAGGTACAAAATTGTTAGGAGCTAAGAGCAAAATCCAATGGTTTTTTGCAAATGTCCGAAATAGGGGAGGATACAACTGAGTCTGGGAGTGCGTTCCAGCGTTGGCAAACCCGAAGTGAGAAATAATTCCGTCGACACTCAAGACGGGTATATTGTTCCTTCATTTTCAAGAAGTTACTCCTGAGCTGCATGTCATGGCTAAGTTTTAGCAAGTGGCGGCATTTGATACGCTAATATGAGATCGCCGCGCAGACTTCGGCAGCGTTCGCTGAAAATTCCCAGCAAATTCAGCCTTCGGTGGTAAGAGTGATAGAGCAACGCTTTACATTCTATCTTGCTCTTCGTTGTGGTGCATCTAATGTCTATAGGTCAGGCTTCAACCAAGGTTGCCAAGCTCGGATAATGTATTCAACGTGTAGGCGCACGAAAGGATTGTGCATCATTGGGAAGATAGATGATCAAATCTCCCGAATTCCCCACGCAGCATGCCGACGTGCTGATTGCCTATTTATGTAGCTATCTCAGCCTGTTTTGTAAAGTTTAGGTCACTCTGTACGAGAGCACTTTCCTCGAGCTGGTCTGTAATCCGTGTGCCCCAATCCAACAGACGTAATCATGTTTTTGGCGTGACTGAACACCGCGACATTTGTCTACGTTGAATGGTAGGGTGTTTTGAACTGACCAGTTCGAAATCGTGTTAAGATCGCACTGGAGCCGTTCCTGATCGTCCGGTTCTCTGAGTATTCACCATCTTTTGATATCATCCGTGAAAAATAGGAAATCGGAAGTACTTGATCTTGCTAAATGGTTTATGAACACCAAGTATAGACAAGGCCCAAGCACCGAGCCTTGTGGTACATCACACTTTACATCGATTGCATCGGACAGAGATTCCCGGACTCTCACCTCCAACTGACGTACATGTAGAAAATTGCTTATCCAGCTCAGGATATGAATTCATCAGGACATTGTGGGAACCTCGGCATTGTCTTTGCTGCTCAAAACACACACATTTTGGTCCACACCTTTGCAAATCCCCTTGCAGGAAAAGATTTTGGGGGACGCATTTAGAAGCTGGAATCGGATTTTGTAGCTTTATGGACTCGATGGATGAATTGTTGGATAGATGATGAGTAGATATGGGGCTGCTTATTTTGTAGATAAACCATGGATTGAACTTGCTTGAATGTGAGGTATCTTTGAGTTGTGAACGGAGTAATGTTCTTGTAGAAAATGTATGAGGATAGCATGTAGAATCAATCTTGTATTGTTAACAAGGGCCGAACCTAAACGTTCAGGCTTTGAAGTAGAACACATCTTCTCCATGAAAACGAATCAAAATTCCTCCAAGGTTAAGTCATAACATTGTCAAGAGAAACTGCCATCCGTGGACTGAGAAAAGATCCATATACTCTAGATCACTGACAGTTCCATGCTGACTTCCGTTTGATCGCGCTGTGGTAACACACCTACGGCAGCTGCAAGGTTAGCATATTTTAGGTTCTGAACAGTGCACTTTTGTACGAAGCGTCGTATGACGCAGTGGAAGCCATATTTGTTTGTTTTAACGTTTCATTTAAAGTATAAAATAAAATACAAGGAAAATGTATGTTCTCAATGTTACATGAGGCACACCAAAGTAGACGTGATCAGTTATGTACAGACACATATGCGACAATTACAAGTTGCTCAAAGAGTAGTCTTGACAAAAGAACTGTGCAAATTCATGTGATCCAAGAAATGAGATGTGGTTGTGATAAATATTCAACATCACAACTTGTTTCCGTGTTGAAATAGGGTATTGTTTTGTGATTGCAAAACTGTCGATAGCACGAATGATGACATAGATTTGTATTGTAAGTGGTTGTTGTTTCCGTGGCTCAACTTGTGTTTCGTTCACATAAATCTATTTTCCCCCTTCTTTTGGTGAGCTCTCTTAAAACAAGTGCACGATTAGCCAGGCCGCTAAACTCTAACTACGTTTATTTTTGACCAAGCCGGTTGTTTAGGTCCCTTCTGGCTGGTTAAACATGGCGCCTATCATATGACAAAATAATCGTGTTTTTGTTTTGTTAATTGTTTCTTGCATTTCGCTCTCTAGAGCACCGTTGTCGTTCACCGTTGTTGCCTCGCAGTAGTTGATGTGCTTGCAATTAGTTTGTTTGGCTTCTGTGTGATTCGTTTACAGCCCCAATTTCTTCACGTTGCGTCGAATCCGTTTTATTAAATCTATTATATATCGGAGATGCATAGTCAGCTGGGGGGATAGGTTGCCTCGTTATATAGTTTTTTGGGTATACCAGCCACAGTATACACTGTATACAAGTGCTTCTGATTGACAAGTATAAAATTTCTCGTATCGATGGAACAAAGGAATAATGGTATAGTATGTATAGTAAATCAATGTTTAACAAGTCTCGGGGGATGCGAAATATCTAGAAAAGAAAATCAGGTGATAAAATGAAATGGTTTTGGTGGAATCACCATGGTCTTCGCATTATGACGTGCGTAAAAGATCTGATAAGGTCGCATGATAAAATCTTTAAATACGGTTGGATGGAATTTTTAAAACACGTTGTTTGGTTGTGTTATTTAGCCTCATCTTGACATTAGTTTAAATAAAAGGCGAATGTGACGATAGTTCGTCAAGCCGCATTTTACATATCGAAAGATTTGGAGTAGGGCCAACATAAGTTGGGAGAGCGTTCCACGGCTAACACATTGAAATGGAGAAGAAATTTCTACGGCTCTCCAGCCGGCTGAACTGTATTGTTAGCTTCAATGGATGGCCACTTAGCGTGGTGTTGTGGTTCAGTTCCAGAAGCGGGCGGCAAAAGTGATTTGGGTTCTTAAGATCTGGCACACTATTGTGAGATCCCCTCGCAAGCTCGGATAGTGACTGCTGTACATTCCTAGGGATTTCATTTTAAGATGGTAGAGCAGATGGAAGAAGCACCCAACGCTCTTGGATGACATTCGCTAAGCCTTACAAGCAGCGAAATCCTGTTTCTGCCATGGGTGCCACTCCTGCATGGCTTATTCCACCTGTGGTCACAGATAGGCGGTAAGCATTTGTGGAAAGATTGAGGAGTCAAACCGACCGAACGCTCTGAGAAGGTCGACATGTTGACCATCGGTTCTCGACGCCTTCTCTAATTCTGTTGATCAACCGATATGATCCTTCACTAGTAGCCGAAAATCACTTTCCTAAGAGCCCTTCTACAAGGTGTGGTCTCCAAGCTTGTACACGCTCATCGACTGATGACGCAGGTGAATCAGCTTGCACTTAGCTTTGTTGAACTGAAGTAGATTCCTGCTTTACCATTCGTGAACGCAATCCAGCCCACTTTGGAGGAAACGGTGATTTACTACGCCATTAATCGCTCGCCAATTACAATGTTCTTGGAAAAAGCGGGAAATTAAAGGCGACAATTCTTGCCAAGTCGTTGATAAACACGGTGCCCTGTGGAACATCGCATCCCATTTCATTCAGATTGGAGGTGTATGCTTTAACACGCAATACTAGCTCCATTAGCGAATGGAGCTGCAGATCCACCCAAGAACAGGACCCCCGATTCCACAGTTCTGTTGCCTGCGGTGATCAAAACAGCCGCAAACTTTGGAAAAGTCCAGGTGTATGACATCAATACCGACCGCATCATCGGCCGTTTCCGTCCAACTACCTAGTGCCAGCAGCAGGTTGATGGTGCGTGGCCGGTGTTGGCGGAAGCCATGCTGCTCTGATGTTAAGACGTTACATTTTTCCAGATAGTCCACTAGAGCCTCAGCCACAACCGATTTCATCTCTTTCGAGAGCACGGGAAGGAGAGTCACGGGGCGATAGTTTTCAGGGACAGAACGGTTGCTACCTCTAAAATTGGGAGTGATGATGCTCTGTTTCAACACACTGGGGACTTGTTGTTCGTCGAAGCATCCTTGGATGAACTGCGACAGGGGCACGGCCAGCTTAGTGGCCGTAACCTTCAGTGCTTTCGGGCGAATGTTGTCGACTGTCGGAGAGCTATGCTAGAGCACTGAGGGCAACTTCCTTATCACAGTTGCTAGGTTGAAGATTACATGTGTAATCCCGTGTGTCGGTTAGATAACGGTATATAATAGGAACTGCCTTCGTGTTCAACATTCTGGGCATATTGTAGCCGCAAGGCATTGGCTGCTTCTTCGACGCCTTGTGCCCTGTCATCTGTTGTGAAAGTAGAGGGTTGTCATCCTATACTTTGCGAAGGCTGTTGACATACCTGTATAGTAGTTTGTTGTTTATCAGCAAGGTTTTTGGCTTGTCGCTGTGATAAGTTACTTTACTCTCACGGACGATTGTGTTTCAATGGTTACGATGGGTCAGGAAGTTCCCCAATTCTCTGGGTCGGGTTTAGCCTTATTGGCATTCCATGCTGTACCCAATATTGCCAAGAATTTTTGAGTCTTGCTTCTGACAATTGACAGCACTCTTGCGGAACGAGATAGCTTGGTTTTCGATGCTGGTTGTTTCAACGATCTCTGTCCAAACGCTGTCAAGGGGACTGTTGTTCGAAAACTCCAAAGTGCATTGCTCAGAGAGTTTTTTCGTGACGTGGTAACATGTGATTGTATGAGTTAATTGCGTATGTTTATATGGGTAATCCGTATAGTAAAAATACTTATATGTCATGACTACATGGTCACTGAGACCTAATGGACTCTCCACATCAATAACCTGTTGATCATGAGCTCTTCGTTTGTGAGCATAAGGTCCAATACAGACGGTTTGTTTTCTGTCATGGAGCTAGTGGAAATATTAGCGATAATTTCAGGCAAATCTGTCTTGAGCTGTTCACTAGGAGATGTCGATATTTCAAGATCGTGTACATTGAAATCACCGGCCGTGAGGATATAGTTGTAGCTGTGGCGTGTAACCTGCCTCACGACGCCAACAAGCGGAAATTCATTTCCATAGTGGATTTTAGGGTGAGGTATACCACAACTACGCGATATGGGTCGTGTGTCTTAATCGGAGATGACATCAGAGTGAGTAGGTAACATGCGTTTCCGGATCACCAACTAATGCACATTGCAGGTCGCTGCACTGCTAGAGAAGAACCCCACCTCATCTGCTAGGACGGTAGTTCCGGATGAGTGACGTTCCTGTTATCTCGACCTCAGCAACGACAACTTCTTGCTGCAACCAGGTTTCGGTAATGGAAATTAGGTTCTAAGCATTCGCAACATGACGTAGTCGAAGTTCAGCAAGTTTACTGAGAAATCCCTAAGCATAAGTATACCTACATGAAAGCTTCTCGTAATTCAGCAATGTGTCGGAGAGTGTGCAATTCATACATGAATTTTCTCCAACCAGTGACTGGTCTGCGACTAGTCGTTTTTTGGGGGCACTTGGCGACTGCTTCGACGTCATATTCATCGGCTTCTTATTTTATCCCAAATCGAATCTTATACATATAGCGTAAGGAGCCTGATCAGTTCCTTTATAACCAGCGTGTATGGGCTCACCAGACACACTGCTGGCCCACTGTTCTATCGTAGTTCCCATCGCGTTTGCTTTTAAAGGTGACATATCATCACTGGAAGGCATATCACTCTCTGCCTTCAGCCGTAGCTCAGATAGCAGCCTGTAACGAAACAGGCACCAGCTTTTCAGTAGCTATGCTGTCATTTGTTTTTACTGAAGGACTACCTTCAATACTCTTGGGCCACATCCTTCACAGTTCGGTGATGTGCGGAGCCGTGACACAGATTTCGCCAGCATGTCATTCAAGGAGTGTTTTACGAATGCCATCTTGTTCGGTATCATGGGTTGTTATTTCATGTTCATCGCATACTTCCGTTTCGAGAAAGCTGTGAACAGTAATTATTCTGACTGGATTTTCTTTCCGCTAGTTCTCTAAGGTGCGGTTACTTCGATAACGCTCGTCCCATAGGATATTTGGAAATACATGGGTGGGGCAATGTTCATTCCTGAGTCAAACCCCTTGAAAGCAGAACTGATTCGAATTCGGCGGTGGAATTCAACGTAACCTGCAGAAGTCTTGGCTCCCCGTAATGCTTAGAGCTGGGGTGCCGTGTGACCCGAGCTGCATGTACTTATTTAATCACAACTCCTAGTAGGTTACTAGTGACGTCCCACTGGTTGTGGTCGTCCAACTGCTTGTTCCAAATTGAGGTCTGTTTTGATTCTAGGACATTGGAGAACACTATAGTTAATACATGTTGTTTTTTAGTACCATTAGATATATCATAGATAGTGGTTGACATAATCGGTGATTTAACGCAGGAATCCATTGGTGTTTGCATCAGAAGCACTCCGGTTTGTTCCTTAGTTTCAGCTCCAATAGAAGGTGCTTCTGATTGCAAATGCCGGTCCTTCTTGGAAGCAACGGCAACCCAACTTTCACTCACATCGGCTTGAGCTCTTGCTATTGACTCAGACTAAATATTGGACGAATCTCTGTGCGTACTTACTATAATCGAATTGAGAACCGCATTAATAGAACATAAACGACTTGTGTTATTTGTGCAGCGTTTGATTTTTTAGGTTCTTGGTGTCGTTTTGGCCTTACTAGCCATCTTCTTCAGGCTTGAAGCATCGCTTACTAGAGAGGCCAAGGATTCCCACTCTGCTATGCTTACCCAAAATGTAGTGATTTTGGTAGTCACCATTTTCTCAACTTTGGATCGTAGCTGGTCTTACTTTGTGATAATAAGATCACGCTTTTTCTCAGCAGGATAAGCGCGCATTCCACGAAGCACCAGAGAAAATCTGGCTTGCTCTTATGCACTCTCACCTCCCTAGGTTTCAGCATGGAAAAGTTTTACAACAGACAGATTACAGAATACCCATTTTGACAGGTTTGGCGCAGGAGCCACGTAAGTCGCGTTCGCTGAGCGAATATCAAGAGCCATTAGACTGATTCACCCTCGATGACCAGCAGTTGATTTCACATTGTCGATGTCGAGGGCAAGGTCACACGGTTTGCGTTGACCAGTTGTGAGACAAAGATGTACTTGCTAAGCGTCTGTCCGGTGTTCCATCCACATGAGTCAGTGTGCCCGTGAGGCGGATCACGCGATGGTTTGATAGATGGTGTTTCGTGGCTGTATCTGTGGATCGCTCCAGAGTGGAGTTGCCAGTAGCCTTAATTGGATTAGCTACGGGGAACGTAACGCACCCTGTAACTGCCCCACACAATGTTGGTCTTGATTAAGTGGTAGCTTGTTCGAACGCCATTAGGATGTTTTCTCAAGTAAAACCAAAAACTCTGTTCGACGGTTGGAATTATGCAAGGTTTTGCGCGTGGGTAGTGGTTAAACACTGTCCGGAATTCGTAATTCCGGATAAATATATGGTACACTTAACATAGTCCCGATAGAAGGACTTCAAGCAATGGTACTCATTAATTCGAGGTGAATAAGCTAACATCCAGTGATGCGCGACAAAACGTGACGGATTAGATCCTAAAAGAACAAAGGATACACCGGTCTGTGGCCGAAACGTCTGTCCTGGAATTATGTAGTCCCATTATGGCTTTGTTTGTCGTTTATACAACTCATGAAGAAACCCGCTAACTCCACGATGAAAATTGCGGTGTACACTGCTACAACTCTAAGAAGTACAGTATGGTTGTTTTTGAACCTTGGTGGTGCCGCTACTCCGAGGAAGAGCAGTTCACTTATCTACGGCTTAGTAGCCTTCTATAAACTAGAAGATCGTTAAATCCTGTTGGTACCTATCTAGGCAAAGGAAAATTTGTCTTTTGACATTTGTTTTCCAAACAGCCGCTGCTTCGCAGGATGAATGTTGCATTTGTGAAAACCACCAATCCTCATCGATTTGAATCACCTACTAATGTGTTGGACCGCCTGAATTACTTTTCATTGTTTTAATATTCACTGAATTTTCCTTGTCTAACTCGTCAACATCCGCTGATGCATATGAGTGAACACCAATGCCAATCCATCGAGCCAATTGATGTTGAAATGACATTTTTACGGCCTTGTTTACCCAGAATGTCCACTACCACACATTGTCAAGAAACGCTGCGCACCCGGCGCTTCGGTTCGCCAAGTCTTTCGCCTTCGTTTTGAATTGAGAATGAATGAGGCTAGTGGAAGAACCGTTTGTTACAGGCGGATGACGCGTTTACCGGATGAACCCTGCAGTAAGTTCACTTTCTACTTTATTGTTTAACCACATTACAAGTCTGATATTGGCACCCTTTGCAACCGATACTGCAATGGTCACGGATGCATTCTGTCATAATGGAACACATAGGGGAAGTAGTTCTCACTGCTAAACTATAGGTCCTAAAAGGTTAATATTTGTGTTTTATCCATAAAGTGCGGTTGGAAAACGAATGCCATTAAATGCTCTGTCGAATGACCCATAGCCCATGGCTGTTTGCCTACCAAAGAAGCCGATAGTTTACAAAAACTTGAAGGTTACGAGTAGGAAGCAGCCTGGTCGATTTACCGCTCGAATTACACATTCCTACGGGAACTCAGAGTTCTATCGGTACTGTCTATGTGTTTCTGTGGTCACATACAAACTCGTGTAGATGGTGTGAGTTGTATGCAATTGGTCGAGATTCCTTCCTTAAACGTATCGGCTATACATGTAGACCTACATCGTTCTATCGTCAGCATAAAGAAATCAGCGGAAACAGGTTCTTGCGAACTGCCCGTTGCTGACCCACCGTTTTAGTAGCATACCCAGGCGTCATTGCCAAAGTAAATGTTAACTTTATTAAGTACATAAAACATATTTCATAAAAGTCCGGGTAGCTTTGTTTAAATGGATAAAGTGGATTCAGCATAACTAGCAACTTAATTTTATCTATTGTAGATAATGCACTTGCATTTAATTTATGTACCACCTTAGAAGACTCCCATCGTTGTCATGCTGATCCTCACTGCCGAGCACTTGTGGACTTATAACCATCTGTTCTTGCCACTCGCAAAGCAGAGGCAAATGTGTGTTTTTAGGCTGCAACCGGAAACTTCGCTGACCAGTCCACCCACGGTAGTACCTGGCTTTATCACCTGAAACGGTATGAATAAGTGCCGATTTAGCACTGAACAGTGTTCATATATTACTGTTGAACTTGGCTCGTTTCAACCCATTTCTACAAGCAAATCATCAGCTTGCAAAATGGAGCGATTTGGAGTCCTCTTATACATATGTTAAGTAGAAAGGTTGTCGAAGGATAGGCTAACTCTTTCTGAGTATATGCTTTCGGAAATGCTTACTTGGCTAAGGAATCAAATGAAAATCGAGGTTAGTATGAAGGTAGTTCGGTGCGTGGCTACATCGAATAGCTTCAATTTGTGCCTAATGGTGATTTGACCGATTCTGAGGATCCACAGATCAGTTCTATGATGTTTAACGGCCACGTTAATGTATCACCTCCTTTACATTGAGTTCGTCCAGGCAATTAATCTATCATGTGTCAATTCACCATACAGATTGCCAGCCACCTGTAGTCCTCAAACAACACTGTGTGCGTGGCGAACTCGTGTTGGTCCGGAAAGACTACCGAATGTCAGATGGTGAGAATCAGCCCAGGTGTATGCAAAAAGTGTTTATCAAACGGATTCCCGTCCTATGCAATGATGAAGGGTCGCAAACTGTGCGTTCCAAATGCCATCACTGGCGGCGGAGAGTTGTACAAATCAGGGAACTACTTGATCCGACACAATGCCGATGTCAGAAAGTAGTCAAAGCGCATTTCGAAGGGTGTGGTGAGTGACTAATTCCTTGTAAATACAAAAATATTCAACCAGCTGGTTTGCTCTTTCTGGTGCGGAATGCTCCTGCACTTCATCACACCTATTAGCGCGCGCCTTTCAACAGTTGTAGTCAATCTGTGAGATCTGCAGACAGTCCGTCTTTCATACGTTATCCACTTAGTTTTCAGCGAGCTAGCGTTCCCTACTGTGGACAACATCTGGAGGCAATATTTCATCGTAAGAGACTTGCACCGAACATGCACAGCTTACGTTTATCTCCTCATCATGATAAGGATATGCTAAGATGCATAAACTTCACATACCCATCTCATTCGCTTATCTCATCCAAACGACCTTCTACACTACAGATTGCAGTCTACGGAACCGAGTGTATAAAGAATGTCGAAATGGTGTTCAAATGATTGTGAAAGAAATTTACACCACAAGCCCAAATGTGAATCACTGCGTTAAGAGCGTTTCTCGTGGAATACACCCTGTTGGTAAGTTCACTCCTTCGAATGATGCAGCACGCCGCCCGTTCGCTATATTTTGCACCTTAACTAGCGTCTTGACGGCCTCTTCCGTTTTGCTCGATGAATCGCAGTTTATTAGGTGGCAGCGATCCATCAGCCCCACAATTTTGGAATGCTCCCAGATTTGTGTTCAGATTTGGTAAACATGATCAGGGCGAAATACCAGCACACAAAACCAACATTTTCCAGGTGTAGTTCTCCGAGTTTCAGTAAGGCTATGCGCTATTGCACCCTGTTCTAAAGTGGGAAATTTTCTCCACTTGACTTCGACAGTATCCTAAAATAAGCATAGTGAAGCTGCGTTTTTTCGGTGAAATACGTTACTGAAACTGTCGTGGGCGATCCTATACTTGATTTTATGACATTTTAACAGCATTTTCACCTTCAATTTCTATACACACCCATAGTTAATAAAATTTAAGCTTTTGGACAGGGGTCTATACCTGTACGTGCTATGGATAGTGGAAGCGCGCGCAAGCTTCCGTGTCTATACCAGTCTAGGTATTCATGATGACGGAGCACGAGCGGGCGTACGTGAATGCAATACGGTAAATGAGAGGTGAGCTCAGCGCAGTAGACACCTTCACTGTCCGTCAATGAATTTGTCGCAAATTTTCTCGTTCGTGTTGTGTGTACTATGATACGATTAGCAATGCAAAGTTTACGTATAAGCATCGTAGATTACGGGAAAACCTACTTCAGTTTTTTCTGCACAATTTATTTTGGAACCCATCAGTATGCACTGGGAAACCTGAAGTGTTTTCTACAAGCGGATGTACGATCCAACGGCCGAATGGGATATTCCAATCAGAGGAAGTACGATGGCAACAGGTGGTCGACTGTCGATGTGTTACACACCGGAAACAAATGCTGAGACTGTGTGCTTGTCCAGAACCAGTTGTGGCCCGACGTTGCCTGGATACGACAAATCTGGTACTGTACAAAACCACCTTCACCAGGATTGCCGATCAATGTCTGCCTAACCGAGACGTTGTGACGACAGAAATCCGTGAGTTTCAGCCATTCATACATATCAACTTAGATAGCACGCTTCAGTTTGATATAAGCAGTCCCAGGTTAACTAGTTGCGAAAGCTTCGAACCTAATCCGGAGCATCGCAATGCCGCAGTCGTCGTAATTTGCGCCACAAAGCGGTACAGAATGCTTTTCAGTGAACTGTTCGGTAACGGCTTTGTCGTTTTTCGTGTTGGTGATAAATTTGGGCAATCTTTCCCGTGTAGGTAGGCCGGGTCCGCACACTATTGGACGCCATAGCCAGTTTACCAGATTTTCCTAACCAGACACTTGTGGTTTATGTGGAGTAGTGCATCAGTTGAAACAGTTATCCGTACCCTTCCACAATTGGTCAACAATGAAATGAAAGCAAATGTGGTGAGCAAAATTTAACTCAGATTCATTTCGGTTACTGCATGCTAATGAGAGTTTTTCTATACTCTTCAGGTTGGGTTTAGCCCCCGGTCGGGTGATAAGGTGGCTCAGCATAAGTGTCTTATTATGTTTTAATTCGTTGGAGAGGCGAGTGGGTGCTTTCAACATGGTGGCTAGCTCGCTCAAAAAGATTGCCAAATTATATCCACAGGCAATTATCGCGAAGAGGAGTCGCTCCGGGGACCACCTTTCACTGGCAAGAGCTGTGGTAGTTGACGCTGCTGATACTATGCCAATTGGACGTATTACTCGTAAGGTTCAGAATACCCCATCGTACGTACTGCATTCATGTGAGAGTTCCAACCGTGAAGTCGAGTGGGCCTACAGTGCAACCAAGCGATTGCAACATGTACTCTAGCATTCTACACCGATCGTTTAAGTGTATATTAAATAATATTTTAAGTTGAACTGTTGCAAAGGTTACTCTTTCCCCATCATTGTATGACGTTTCAACTAGCTTACCCAGTATTCGGTATAGCAGTGTGGGCATCCCAAACGATTTAGATGATCTGCTAACAATTTAATTTGTCTGGTTTAATACACGCTGCATCAGAATACCTGACGTTGTACAGGGATCCCGCTCTTCTGCACAACACTCATTCCCTTCGGTACATTAAGATCGGCCATCTACAATGCTTGAACGGCGTGTTTACATTTGAAGGGTAAAGTGCAATTCCATTCTGACCCCGCCTGATTCATATCCTCTTTGGATCACTCTAAACTTCAGGTTGCTCCGAGCCGCCTCAAATAGTTGACAAAACCTCATGTGAAACTGTCCCCACTCCCTTGGGTTCGAATGGATCCCCACATTGTTTGGAAACCTTCAGGATAGCTGTTCGACAGGTTCATGAATGTCAATGTCTTACCAAGCATGTTGTTGTTCGCCGTCGATGCTGCGTCCCGGAACCTAAGATCGAACGACACTGCGATCCAGCCCATTCAACGTGGGTTACTGTGTACACCAATTACACTTTGGCCTCCGGAAAGGTAGGTTCCCCGTCGCCATCTGATCATGTTAAATGAAACAGATAACGTGGTGAGTCGTGTTAGACAGCTGGCTCATCTTGTTTTACGGCGTCAGTGCAACACGTGTTAAGCCTTCCTACCCTAACTTTCTAAATAAGTGCTGTCCCCAGTAACCATTCCTTTGCTATGTATCAGGTGGAGCGGCGCTTTTTTTCATAAAAATGTGCCCACTTCATTGGTTAACCGAGTGGTTGATTATTCTATGAGGATGTTCGGCACGGGTAGGTAGAAGGATGACTAAATGGGTTAGTTTGAAAAATATTTGGCCACGTTACATCAGAGGTAAACGAGAACATACTTTGTGTTTGTGAAATTTTCAAGTCGCGTTTTCTGCAGCGTATTGAGACACTTTGGTTTCATTAACGCAGTAAGAAGACATAGGTTGCGAAATGTTAACGTTTCGATTGTTCTCCTCAGTCACTACACGATACAGGCAGAACAAAATACGCATTAAATACGGTCCACACTTAGTAACAGGTAAACAGATAAAATTGATGTGATTGACGTAATCAGGTCCAAGGCAATCTAATTGAATGCCTCAGTTGTTTCTGGGCATAGAGCACGGGACAATTTAACCTTATCAGTAGCGCCTCGCCAATTGCCAACAACGTCGGGTTCGTGTTGCGCAATAGCACGTTGAATGAATCGATTGGGTTCACCTGATGACGAGTTGTCATTAGGTGTTTGGTGATAGACGAGGCAGGGTTCCGGTTTATTCTTTGGTCCACTCCGCTTTGTTGAGACAGCAACTACCTTAGCCACAATGGGAATTGTTCCGCCTCCCTTTGGGCCAGCCCGCGACCAGTCTTGCCGATGTAAGTGTCACCCCAATTGCAATTGAACTTGTAGATGATGTTAGAGGCCGAACTGACTGGCGAGCTACTCGTAAAGCTATCGAGAGGAATCCTTTGTGTAGTGTGGATAAGTCGTACTTGGGCGCTAGAGTAGGTGTGCATTAGAACGGACCTGGGCTTGTGACCAACATCATTTGCCACAGGATCCCCTTGAACGGTAAGAACAAATAAACATCCTTCTTCTCCGTTGTTTGTACTGACAGCTTCTCTTTGGGGGGTCTGCTATGGGTCTGAATGAATTTCTCTGGATACCCATTGGATAGCAGAGTCCAGACTGCAAATTCCCCTGGTCCTGTAGTAGAGAGATTTTACGAGGCCGCGCCTGTACGCAACTGGGGCGAAGCTGGAAGAATGTATTTATTGCTCCTCAGGTCACTTTTCTTTACACAGTGCGCTACAGTGTGCCATCGGTCCTTCTTCTGATGGGCACGTCCAGAAACGGCAGTCTGTCCACTTTTTCCTTCTCCTGTGATACCGAAAGGTTAGGGTGGATTGAGTTCAAGAGGGTGGAAAGACGGTTGAAATGTTCACGATTTGTGAAGACGAGAATATCATCTACGTAGCGCTTGTAAAGCTTTGATTCAGCTATGCAGCAAGTAACTCCTTACAATCATGTACAAGAAGATATCTGTCAGAAGTGGTCCCAAAAGGCTACCCATAGCGACACTGTCGATCTGTTTGTAAGCCGTCCTTTCAAACTCGAATCGCACGTTCTCAGTGCACAATAATATCAAGTTTCTCAGGTAATGCAGAGGAAGACCTACAGAGAGGTTCCGACTCAAAGGAAATTGGCATCGGTCGTCGACCATTTCACGTGGGGTCACATTCGTGAAAAGTGATTCTACGTCTACGGAATACATGAGCTCCGCGCCAAGCGTTGTTTATTCCAGTATATTCGCCAATGCAAAGGAGGCTTTCAAACAATGCGTGCTCAGGAGCTTACGCACGGGTTCTAAGAGTTTTGTCAACCACCTGGCTACTTTGTGGTAAGGTGAGTTATTCAGGCGCATGATTGGGCGTAGTGGAATTCCCACATTGTGCAGCTACGGCGCACCCCTCATCCTTGGTGTTTCCGTCCCTGTCGGTTTTAACTGCCGATATTTTGACTCGGAGATATAACCATGAAGCAAAAGAGTTTGTAGATGCCTTGCAATTTGTTTCTCCATTACGTAATTGTTGTGCAGCGTCTTGTCCATAGGAAACTTGCCACTTGTGTGATTCACAACAATTTTATCTGTTTATCTATATTTACTAAGTGTGGACCGTATTTGATGCGTAGTTTGTTCTGCCTGTATTGCGTAGCGACTGAGGAGAGCATTCTAAATGTTAACATTTTGCAACCTATGTCTTCTTACTGATTTAATGAAGTGGTCAAAGGGGACGGTGTTTCAAAACACTTTGGTATATCAGCATGATTGATTCATCCACTACGGGTTAGTTGGGTAACTTTCCATCAAGTATTACCGCATCTCTCAAAGTAATTGTCCCAAAGAAAGCAGGTACCTCTGTCAGGTTTTATCAGCACCCGCCATTTAATACAAAGAGAACCAAACTGGAGAAGCCGGGAGCCCAGCCACTAACACAATCAAATTGTTTTAACAGGGGGTTGAGAATGACGTGGCACTTGGGGAAAGTTAATACGCAGCAGCGATTTTACAATAAGGGAAGAGATTCCAACTATGTGCAAATTCAACGAAGGTTGGGTGTTCGTTCTGTATCATTGTGGTCCGGGTTGGTGAGCAAGTTGAAGCCGGAAGTAGAGCGGTTGAAAGTGAAAAACATAGCACTATGCGACAGATGCTCGTAGCGTGTGGCGAATCAGTGCATTACGAAAAAGTGAATATTGGCACATTATGAACTTATATTACGGATTTCATATTAATATCCGACGGTCCCAACGGTTGGATTTAGAACTGCATACTTTCTACAACGATAAGCAATCGTTAATTAAATTACTAAATAGGTCATTTAGCGATTGTTTAATATGGACCTCGTACTTGCGTCGAACAACTCACGGGTAGTTTAGTTTTCCGTAACCCTGTCGATTCGTGTAGCGCCAGCCGTTCATTGATACGAATGCGTCCTATTGGGTTCCACTCTGGTTTATACCTCCTGAGTGTAGTTGGTCATGGCCAGTTCAAACTCCTGACCCTACACTGCTAAAAGAATGGAAATATACAAAGCATTCAAAGGTGTCTTTCTAGCAGCAGTTGGCAGCTGGTATTCGGTTACTGATATGAACCTGGTTGTACATTTCGTTTAATTTGTACTTTTGCAATGATTTGACAGGTTCTGTTCGAATCTGATAATTTGGTGATTCGCGATCGAGTTGCAAAACCAATGAGAGAGCAGCAAGAGCAGCAGGTCGTGTGTCCTACCGCAAAGGTCAACGAGCGGTGTGATTCTCAGACAGGACTGCTCACACGAACTGTTGTTCGGTTCAATTCGGTGAAATGCGCATGCCAGCCTACCCGAGTCATCGAACGAGGAAAATGTCGTGAGTTGTGCTTTCTGAGAGTTTGTCCCTGATTAAAAGTTACTATCATCAGTAACCTTAGTAACGCTTTACTTTGGGTAATAACCATCGATTGCACATTCAGCTATCCTTCAATAGCATTGCATCAGATGCATATCTGGTTTGCATAACTTTCCAGCTGTGTCATGTGACAGTCTACACTTCTCTCCCCAGAGTGAAGCCTGCCACCCTCAGGGCACTGAAGTGTAAATATGCGGATGGGGAGTGCTATTTGCGAAGAATCACGGTTGATGGTCTCTTGCACTGGTACGAATGCACCTGGCGTTCTGCCCCACAGCATCGGTACAACTAGGTTAAGCGCATCTCGGCGATTCTCTAGGTCCGTTTATGATCACATTTTCAGTTGTTTCGTGCATACACACGGTTCCGCATTAGTGGTGCCAACGAACGAAGTTGCGATTTGTGAGTGAGCTGCATGTATGTCTCCAAGCCGCTTAGATGCCACAATGGGATT